ACTTCATTTTACAAATAAGGAAACTGAGAGCAAGAGAGTTGAATTGGCTTTCTAATGGTTATATGCCTTGGCCAGAGTCACCCTACGATCTCGGTCTCCTGGTCTAATGAGACTCTCGATGGTTGGTGACAATAGGTTGGTTATTATATACCCTTGGAGAGGGAATCACAAGTTTCATAGGTAAGGCTTTCTCTGGGGAAGGGTGGGTCTCAGAGGGAGATTAGTATACGGCCAGATTAGTGTTTGTGTGCCATACTGTCTTCTTTGCAGAACTAACCAACTCTGCCTTTGAATAGCCATTGACAATATGCAAATAAATGGAAGTAGCTGTTTTCCAATCAAGCTTTGTCAAAGCAGGAGGCAGGCCTGATTTAGCTAGCTGAAAGAAGTTGCCACTGCTATTCTAGAGTGAGTTATGGTTATCTCTTACTGTGCTAGAAATTACTCTGTAACGTAGTGACTTCATACAGTGACCACATGGTAGAATTCAGCTGGCAGCTGACCTCAGGCCTCAGTAGGGATGGCTGCTAGGGATGCCAGCTTCTCTTTCTCTCCTGGTTGCTCCAGTCTCTTTCTATGGGGTCTCTTTCAGGTTTTTCACAGCATAACTCCCAGGGCTCCAAGAACAAGGATTCCAGTCTCTTAAGACCTGGTCTTAGATACCAGTACAGCATCATTTCCACAGTATTCTGTTCATCAAAATAACTGCAATGGCTCCCCCAAATTCAACAAAAGAGGATATAACCTCTCTCAGTGTAGGGGGTGCCAGAGAATTTATGGCCACTTCTAATCCACCATAGAAAGATGATCTGGGAGCAAGAGCTAGTAGGATAGAGATAAAAAGAACCTATAGGACTGGAACTCACAAGCTCATCTCTTTCTTTTTTTTAATATGACCAGGCTGATTTGCTTATATCAGTATACATCTGTATACCTCATTTTTAAATTTCATTTGGCTTCTCCCATGTATTGGTGCCCTTTTTCTTTTCAGAGAATTTGAGAAGTACGTTTTAAGAAGGCCAAGTTCAAATTGCTCCACCAGTATGGTAATGAGAATTGTATAATTCACAGTGAGAAAAGCAGATGGACAGACAATTGAATATATAAATGAAATGTAATCCTTTAATCCTACTTAGTTACAAGCTGGCTTGTGTTACCAAAAACTGATCCTGTGGCTCTTTGAGCTGTATAATGGCTGTGTGTGTGTGTGTGTGTGTGTGTGTATAAAATGACATTGATCACTCTTTCTGCAAGAAGGAAACCCATCTCCTCAGCAGATTTCCAAACCTCTGACATTACACTAGCTACAGTTCTCTCCATCCTGCTTTATTTTCCAGTGTAAATAGACTCAGATTTATTCTATTAAGCAGAAGAGCTCTGAACGGAGTGAAGGAATGATAGTGCCCAGTATCTTTGGTCATATTCCTTTCAGTGGAAATTTCCCACTTCCCTTTCCTAGTGATTTTATTTAAATTATTTAGAATCATGTGGCTTCACTCATCTACTTGAAGTGTTCTTCCTGTTGGTGCATTCATCATTATAGAGCCCCTGAATATCTATCGTTTAATTCCTAACGCTGTGTTTTTCTTCATTTTTATTTTAATGTAATACATGTAGATATTAATCAAAAAGTAGAAAAAGCATTCTTTCTATAAAAAATAAAATTTCATAAGAAAATAGAGAATAACATTAGTATACTATGTACTGTAATCTTCAAAGAATAGCCAAAATTTATTCAGAGCACAAGTCACAAACAAAAAACTTTTATTAAAAAAAAAGACGGTAGCATTATTTAAAAAAAAGACTTTATTTTCAGTGAACTAACAAACTAGTAGCATAAAGGGAACAAATTTGAAAAGAAGCATAATCGATTTCATATGCAGTATTTACTTCAGGAAACGACCTCAAGTGGGATCCAGTTTTTGGCAGTCTAGAGAGAACTACATCTTTTCTAGGGATTTCATGTGCTTTGTTTGTTTCTAGAGTTCAGAACAGTTCATTTCCACCAGTGCTTGTAACTCATTAAATTGATATGAATTTAACAAAAACACTGGGTGCATTTTCTGCAGACAGTAACACTGGCAGATATTGTTATAGTCTTTGAAGGATAAGAATAGGCAGGACAGAAGGAGGTGGGGGAGAAAAGCATGTTTAGGTTCATGTTAATGTCACAAATATGAACTAGAGTCAAAATTACTATGGCCAGGCATGATGGTGTGTACTTGTAATCCCAGCACTTTGGAGGCTGAGGCAGGAGGATCATCCTGGCTACATAAGTGAATTTAACACCAGCCTGAACTACAAAGGCAGACCCTGTCTCAAAAAAAATGAAAGAAAAAAGTCACTATAGTCTTTGCTTTTGTATTATTGCCACCATTAGTGGTAAACACTGGTTGTTTTTCCTGTTTAGCACATTAAAATGCAAACTATCTCAGACTGCTAGAACCCCACAATACTGTCAGCTTTACTTTATCCCCCCAAGACCTCCTACATCTTTTTAGAAAATCAAAAGCTTTAATAATATAAAGAATGTAGTTTTGACATGAAGGAAACACTGGTTTGCTGTTTTATAATTAGCATTGCATGTTGTGACATTGTGACATTTTATTTTACTAAATAGTAAAATTTGCTCGGGATTTTCACATTGTAGCACTGAAAGGTCCCCAGCAACATGCAACTACCAGGAACCAGGAAGGCTGGCCATTTCAGGTGGCTTCTCTAGGATAGGTTGGCACGTCTTACTTCATGCATGGAAAATGGCTGGTAATTGAATACTTATAATTTCTTGTTAAAAGATTTCATAAATCTTCATTTTCTTATTACAACTTCAGTCTTTTCTTTGCTGCTGTTGTAGATCTCTGGATCAACTATAGGCATATTTTCACTCTTGGTTGTTTACACATAATGTTTTAGTTTTGTTTTCTTGAAAGAGCTAACCCTGAAAAGGGGGCCTGCTGTGTCTGTATTTTTGATGGTTTGTTATGATTTCTGCATTACTCTGTATTTCTTTGGCAGGTGTACCATTCCTGTCTTTTTCAGCTGAGTATCTGTCCTAGAATGTCAGAGGTGTTCACTGTGGCAGTGCTTTGAAAACGACTCCATGAAGGGCTTGGCAGCACTGTTCACCACCTATGACTTGTGAATACTTCTCTGCATCTCTGTCCCAGGTGGTGGGCCCAATAGATTCCATAGTAAGAGCTGATTAGACGTGAACTTTTAAATTATAAAAAATAAGCATAGCTAGTTTGATAATTCATTGGGTTGTTTTGCCTGGAATTTGCTGTGAGTTTTTAAATTCCCCTTGTGCTGACTTTCTAGCACTCTTGGTGTATTCAGCTGTGTTATTTTCTTTTCTTTTTTTTTTTTTTTTTTTGTCTTTTTTCTTTTTATCGGTACCGGGGATCGAACTCACGACTGTCTGCTTGCAAGGCAGGCGCTTATGTCGCTGAGCTAAACCCCCAGCCCCTGCTGTGTTATTTTCTAAACAGAAAAAAAATTGTCACAGATATGCAGGCTGTGAAATTCTTCCTGGTTGAAGATAATGTACATATGTCAGTGTTCATTTAGAAGGTGCAGTTTGCTTTCTCTGTGCTTTTGAAAGCCTAAAAGCAATTTCAAATCATCTCCCTTCCTATAGCTGTGTTTTAGTGTACAAAAGCATGGTTTTCAAGTTATGATCAGACTTAAGCAAACAACCTTGTGCTAATGTATACAAATTCTATGCATCGGCAAAGAGAAGCACTTTATCAAAATTCCTCGTAATTAAATGTGTTTAATTGCATCTACCACGGTGACAATATAACCTGCAGAACAGCCTCAGCCTTCTGCAGTGGGCTCTGTTTCCCTGGTTGTGCCCTCTTTGGGCTCTGCAATTCTGGCTGTCATTGTCTGGAACATTTGGTCCTGGGATCCCTGAAGGTTCATTAACTTGGGGCTTTAGAAATGCAAAAAAAATGTCTTGATGGAACTAACCAAACTCACAGTATAGAATGAGACCTATGTAGTCCAGTTTTGTAGTGGACATAATACAGTGGAATAATCAGCAGGCTCTAAATCACATGTGGTCTGGAATTTGTGTGAAAAGTTGGAGCCTGCAATAACTGAGAGGAGTCTTTTATTTAGTGCTGCCTGTTTTCCTCTTTTTTTCTTCCTGTTTTGTCTGTCTGTGGAAGCTTTGGGGATGTAGCTATCCTTGTCCTGACTCAGGTCAGCACCATGATGCCACTGTTTGTATCAGAATGTTATGGAAAATTTTCAGACTACCTTTGTGACTGTTGAAAGTTTATATTAAGAGAGGATCCTTTTGATGGCAAATGACAGGAAACTCTATTGAGTTATCTCAATGGGAAACTTACGGTAAGGATATTTGTTGCTGGAAGCTCTAGGAACTAAATCTTTTTTCCTTCATGGCTCTTTCACTTTTTAATTGTGGTTGTGCTTCTCTTCTTTTTTCTTTCCTCTACAGATAGAATTCTTTAACTTACTCATAATTTCCCTTTCTTTATGAGTTCAATTTTCACAAGCCTCTCTGGGCCTTCTTCTAAATCCAGAACTTTTAAGCAAATGTTAGTCCCTTCAACATAACAATGTTTATTCCAGTGATAGAATTGTTGCCTAAAACCTTGTGACCTTAATTTTCTTCTCTCATTTTCTCAAATGAGTAGAGTTCAACTCTTTAATGATATAGGAACAAAAATGTGAGTATATGTGTTTTCACTATATATTACCTATAACATCTTCACATTTGCCTTTGTAAATAATGAAAGAATGAAATATGTAAGTGGGCACTCTTACTTTTATACAAATATTCATATTTGCACATGAATAACTGTAACTCTTCCCTGAACTTTAACTTTAAAACCTAGCCAGTTCACCTTTCAAGTTTGATATTAAGTGCTACATAGATATGAGAAATACTGCTGTTTGCCTTTTGTAGAAATTTAAGTTTCATCACCTAAAACAGAAACTGGAAATGCAATGGATTTCCTTGTCATCTGCAGGAAATGTTTGATGTTATATTAGATGAGAATCAGCTCGAGGATGCGTGTGAACATCTGGGAGAATACCTTGAGGCGTACTGGCGTGCTACGCACACCACCAGCAGCACCCCCATGACCCCACTGCTGGGGAGGAATTTGGGCTCCACTGCACTCTCACCATATCCCACTGCAATTTCTGGGTTACAGGTATTGTCACCTTTTCACTCATGTTTTTACAACCTTACTTTTAAGATTTTATAAAATCATGATGAAGTCAAAGACTGCAGTTGTCCTTAGTCTGAAAAGGGGACACAGTATATTTAAATGATTTAAATGATTACCTCATTATGATTTGTTCCAGAGACATTTTGGAAAACTTCATTATCTGTGAAGTCATAATGGATTTTACTTAAATAAACTAAACTTAGACGTAATACCTACTCAGTACCACAGTCTATGACTTCTGCATGACACTCCTTACAGGTTATATAATCCTGTAAATATCAGGCACCATAGCCAGCTAAGTGATACTTGGGAAGAGATAAGCCTGTTGACTGCCCTGAACTGTCCCTGCCTCACAGACTTCTCTGATCCTGCCATCTTCTTTGCACAAGATAGAGCATGATCCAGTGACAGGACCCTGAGTTTTCTATGGGAGGGGTATTTACAGACCCTCCTTGCTCAATGGCTGCAGTAAGCATCTTTAGGGAACTCCAGTTCCTTCCAAGGCAGCCCAGAGTCAGGAGCTGCTCAATTCTGCTGCTCTGGTGCTGCACTGAGAACTAGATACAGGGAACCAGAGGCAGTAAGACACCAAATGACCCTTGTCTTTCTGCATTAATTATTATTTACCACTTATCAAGCAGCTGCTGGAATGTGGCCAGACCCCCACTGATTGAGGAACATGTAGTCAATTGAGCCCTCTTGTGGCCTTACTAGCTTTGTTTTAATGGGTTCTAATGATAGCTATAATGGTAGATCATGTGGAGTTAACTCTGAGATAAATGGCACTCTCTGAAATGCTATTAAAACGGTATTACTCTGCTGCAAAATTGCATCTTTGTAAGCAGAAAAGCTTACAAAAAAGATAAATTACTTTTGAAGCTGAAAATGAACATAGGAATGTATGAGTGCAATGTATTGTCTATACCTCTCTGTCTGTATCTATATTTATATGCACCAGGACATTTTCTTGCCTTGTTTCCCTTCTGGTGTGCTGATCTGAGTAAAACATTCCTGTTGAATAATTTGGGTTGGCTCTAAATTGTACATACTGGAGTAAGCAATAAATGCATCAAGCAGTTTCTATTATGTAGGGAATAAGATGTGCCTCATTTATGAATGCAAACTCTTGACTCATTAGCCCTAAAACATCCACCCAGTTCTCCCAGTTTTACTAATGAATTAACCTGTGACCTACTTCTCCCAGTACCCACTGGCACTTAATTGTTAGACACATGGTTGAAGTTAATGGCACAGTCTGTGATCCATTGAATGAGTTTTCCTTCTGTGCAAAGCTGAGTGTATTTTCCGGATGTGGCTGGGTCCATGATTTCATCAGGATCCTGTTTGTTAACTCATATGCCCTACCTAAGCTGGTAGATAGATGCAGAAACATGTTTCCCAAAGCGAGGAAAAATGGGTAACATTTTCTAAGTCATCAAGTATAAGTGTCTTAAGATACTGATTTCAGTCAATGTCAGGCAAATTTGGTTTATACTTGAAGATTATTTTTGCAGAGCATTTAAATTGATACAGCAAGATTTATAAAGGCATCAGTTAGCTAGCTGATTAATTACCAAATACTCCTTTGGAAAAAAATGTTACTAAGAGACTTAACTTTTATGTAGAGTGTAGAAACAAAAGCATTATTTTAAGGATAACACAAATTAATTAAAATACTATTAACCAAGTGTGGTGGCTCACACCTATAATCTCAGCCCTCAGCAGGCTGAAGCAGGAGGATCATTGTGAGTTTGAGACCAGCCTGGGCTACAAAGTGAGCTCAAGGCCAGCCTGAACTGCATAGTGAGACCCTGTCTCAAAAAGACAATTAAAAAGTAAAATACTATTAAATAGTATAAGGAACATTCAGATAGATCTGGGTGAAGTATGCGACTTTAGGAGGAGAAAATTTAGCAGCTTAAGAGAGGAATAAAATAATGAGTGCTATTCAGAATCTTATTCTCAATAGTAATATAAAACTCATTTTGCAATAAAAATGGAATTATTTGTTTTTCCTAAATGTATTAAGTTCCAGTTAAGAGTCAACATTCAAGTCGGTATTTTTAATAGGAGCACTATATAATTAAATTCATAAACTATAAACAGTGTGGGATCTTTGCATGTTGTATCCCAAATAACAAAGACCAGAGATATTTTTAGGAAACCATTTGTGCATCAAAACATGTTTTAAGGAAGATGTTTATCATCTCATTGTACAGATCCTATTATTGTACATACATTTACATGTTTAGATGAATGAAGCTGACATGATTTAATCAACTATCTGATATTTTTAGAGTCAGCGAATGAGGCACAGCAACCACTCCACAGAGAACTCTCCAATTGAAAGACGAAGTCTAATGACCTCTGATGAAAATTATCACAATGAGAGGGCTCGGAAGAGTAGGAACCGCTTGTCTTCCAGTTCCCAGCATAGCCGAGATCATTACCCTCTTGTGGAAGAAGACTACCCTGACTCATACCAGGACACTTACAAACCCCATAGGAACCGAGGCTCGCCTGGGGGATACAGCCATGACTCCCGACATAGGCTTTGAGGCTGCCAACACAAAAAATAAAAAATATTCATCTGTTGACTATTTGCCATAGCGTTGCTAGGATAAACCAACATTTTAACTTGGCAAGCATAGCACAGTACTTACTGTGCTTGTGGGCTACTGTCTTTTGATGCTATGTAAGGGGCAAAAAAATGTACATTATGCCCTTGAATCTAGATGGATATTAGATGCTCAATCATATAGATATTTTTAAGTGCAACATTTACATGATAACAGTACCTTTTGTTTTCTTCATAGATTAAGACACGTCAATTTGTAGTCTAGGGTACTTATCAAGGCACATATAAAATAATTTCCCATGCTGGAAATTCCAAATGACCAGTTCCAGTTGGAACCAATTTATAAACCAATTCCTGTTGGAATTTGGGTGAATTGACTAGAAAGTCTACTTGAGCATGTTGCAATCAATTAAAAAAATTGGGAAAAAACCTAATTAATAAGAAAATCAAGATAAAAATAGAAGCCAAAACCAGCTCTGGTATTTATTTGCTGGAAGCTAAATTTACACTTAAAAGTTGGATGTGTAAACATTTTAATATATGTTAATGTTGCCAGAATGGCTTTTCAAACTTACCAAATGTATTGATAGTGCCAAAAAAATTTCAGAAATCTTAATGCAAAAATTATTATATAATCTCTTCTGATTTTAATATTTTTATTTTTTTCCTGGCACAGCTGTTGTAGTCAAAGTGTTTTGCTTTCTGTTCAGTCTGTACCGTTAGCGTGTTTTGAAGTTGGCAAAAAAAGAAAAGGAAAGAATAAAAACTTCAAAAATTTTAGTTGTTAAAAGAGAATAGTAATGAGAAGGCCAAGAATAGCCGATTAGAAGAAATTTAAAATGAGGTGTTGTTTCTTCTTTAATGCACATGAGCACAACTGCACATATCCAGGGGTGTGAAGTCAGATAGCAAGGGTGTTGTATAGATCCTCCTGAGTGTAAAGCTAAACCTCTCCAGATGGGAGTTCATCTACCCACTTAACACACATGCAAGGTCAGTATTTCCTGCCAGCACAACTGGGAATCTTTCCATTGCTTCCCTCAGTCTCTGTCTTTGAATATCTAAATATTCTAGCCCATTACTAAAGTTTTTAAAAATCATGCTAAAGATTTTTGTTTTCCATGGTAACATTCAAATTAGATGTTGAAAGCTATGTTATTTTACAAAATGATTAATGGGAAAAATTCAAATAAATGATGAATTTAAAAACTTGCAGTTAAGGGACTGGGGATTTAGCTAAGCGCCTGCCTTGCAAGTGTGCAGTCGTGAGTTTGATCCCCGGTACCAACAAAAATTTGCAGGTAAAAAATCATAGATTCAGAATACGTCTGTTCACTAAAATTACAGCATTCTTATTGAAAAATTATGAAGATTTTAGAGATTGAGCTGACTTTTATCTAATAAACACTGCTCATTGCTTACCAACAGTTCAGTTTTTTCAGTGACTGTAATTATGAATTGGTGGCCTCTGTCTTACATTATCAAGGGTTCTTTAGATTTATTATGGTCCAAAAATTTATTGAAATTGATCCTTTTATATAATACAAAATGTATTTATGAAAGATTCTTGTTTCTAAAATTCTACAATCCATTCATGTTCTAAAACCTAAATAGGATGAGACATAAAAGATTTTTTTTACATCTCATGAAGCTGATTTTTGAAAACAGAAATAATTAATTTTGAGGCTGGGGTGTAACTCAGTGGTGGAGTGATGACATGGCATGTTTGTAGGCCCTGAGTTCCATCCCCAGCATCCCCCCCAAAAACCTTGAATAATTAATTTTGTATTATCTTATGTTTCCCCAAGTTCTTCAATATTCAGTCATGAAGTATGCACTAGTTTCTGTTATTTTCTTGATTAAGAAAATGTCTCATATTATTATTTATACATACCTTAGACCCTGTCATAACCTCATGACATGCCATCCCCTCATCTTGGCTTGAATCTTTAGCTGATAATGAGGATTCCTATAACTCTATTCATCATCTCAAACATTTGGTGCAATTAAATAGGGGCTTAGTAAATTTTAAAAGTTAAACTTCACACTGGCTTGGGAAATTCTTTTGTCATCTAGTGAAACATAAAGAACTTTCAGTTAAAACATTTAAAAGAACTGTATCCATTAGGCTGTTTAATAAACACCTAACCTGCCATCACTGAATACTTTGTTAAAACACAGAAGCACTTTTTCCAGCAAACAAAAATATACTTATTACATGTACAGCACATATTTGCATGAGAAAGAAAACATTAGCCAAAACATTCTTCTATATGCTTTACTGGTTTCTTGTTTGTGCGCATTAAATTATTTAATTGCAGAGTGCACCAAGGTGTATAAATTTAGACTAGACAGCCGTTCAGCTTTTTCTGTAGTAGCATTAGCAATTTGGTCATTTAACTATTTTAAGATATTTACATTTTATGGCAGGTAGCTGAGACAGCATTTACATATATTAAAAAGATTACCATTTTTTTAACTTTTAAAAAACCACTTGTTTTTAAAGATCTCTCAAAACTTGTTTCTAGCCTTCCATGTCATGATGAAAGATGGAGGCCCATTCAATATCTGTGCATAAAACCAATCCATCATTTATCATCAAATGTGCATACTTGTTTTGCTTTGCATTTTTTATCCAAAGGCTAACAATCTTGGAAAGGGTATAATGTATATTTTCTTGATGAATATATTTAAAATATCACTTTAATTTGGAATATTCTCTCAACTTCTATTATATGTTTATCTTCTCCAAATGAATGAGATATGCATCGTCCTTTCTTTTAAAGCCTTAGAAATATATTGTGTAAATGATACTACAATCCAAGTATATAATAAAAAGTTTTATTTTTGTCAAGCATACCAAGCACCTTTGGAAAATGCATATTCCACAAATACTTTCTTTTTTATTGATGTCATTTAAAATAGAAAATTATTACAAGCAAGAAAAAGGAGTCATAATATTTTGAGGCTGTTTGAACTGGTAGTGTAAACCATATACTAGAATTCTGTAATTTCAGTCAGCATACTTATAACAATGTAGACTCATGTGACAATATGCAAATACAGTCCTGAAAAGAAAAGGAATGCAGTTTGTCTCTTCTGATGTCAATTCTCATGGATAAAATATGACTCCAATATTATAATCAACAGTGTTATCTTGTTTACTACAGTGTTTAAAGCAACACTTGGAAATGTTTATAAATGACTGATGAGTCTGTCTTATCTTTATATAGTTCTTTCAGAAAGAAGATTGAAATTGTTAACAATTTAGACTAATGGTCTTTCCTAATAAGAGTCTTAATTTTGTGACTATACAAGTCATTACATTTCATCCTTAATGGAATGAATTTTTTAAATGTGAAACAAATTCTGAGAAAATTATGTGTTCCCTTTAAATAATTTGTTATTTACTCAAATTATTATTGTTGTTTGCAAAATGTATTTTTGAAATGTTAACCTCTTTTCATACCTGCATACTTGAACTTGTCTTTTGTGTGGGGGCCTTAAAATTTCTAATAGAAAGCGGGGCAGTGAAAGTGAGTGAGGGAGAGAAATCTTGGCAAAAGATGATTTACAAAGAGTAAAGACTTTAAACCAACATATCACAAATATTATTGAGATCCAGGATGTAAATGAAAAGTGTTTCTAGGCAACCTTAATTTGCATGCTAAAGTATTTTCTTGGTTGTACAATTTTACTTTGGTATTTGTTTGAAAAGCAAAACCAACATAATATCACTATAGAAATTGCCCTGTATGGATATTTATACTACCTCTTCGCTAGAGAAGACAGTCTTGTCTTTAAAGGGAAAAGTACTTGTCAAGAACTAGTGATCAAATTTCTTACTATTACTGCTAACCTTGCTGCAAAGCTAAATGCATAATGTGTTGAAATAGCTTTCTCTTTAGATTTTAACCTGCTTTCCAAAATGCTTTTGTCACCCTTTTTTCTTTATGTGAGTCAAGTTTTCTTTGAATTGGTTCACATTTATTGTGAGGCATGGTAAATTTAACAAGTCATCATAGGGAACAAAACAAACTGCAAAAGAATTTACCTTTTATACACCGGTTATGTCTATAAGAGAAAGGTCCAGAGACTTAACACAGTTGGTTTGCAAATTCAAATTTTGTTGATCCTTGACTTGTGTAGACATCAAGAGCACAGCTTAGCTACTTTCTGGTTAAGAATGTGTGTTAGCTTGGACATGTAACTGGAACAAACTTCATATCAATATTTTGAATAAATACTTAACCCTTATTCTTTTTATATCTCTGCCTTTGTCTTTCATGACAATGTTGCATGTTGATTTTTTAATTATATAAAACTCACCCGAGAATGAATGAAAACTTTATAGGAAATTATGTAATGAATCTGTTTCCTTAGTTCCCTATATCTTTAAATACTGTCAGTACTGTAACATACTTATTTGGGCTGTGTCTATGCTGCAGAAAACAATCCTTTTTAAAATGATAATCATGATCAAATCAATCAGTATAGGAACTATAAGAATGACTTTTTTCTTGTTGCTAATCACATTAGTCAAAACAGTGAAGTTGGTTTACATGGACAGACAGAGCTTCAGCATTCAAAAATTATTTTAGAAGTTTCTTTTTTAATTAATGGGTCCTTCAATGAAATACATCCTCTGATAGCAGTCATCTCTGTCTAGTTGTGGATGATTTAATCCCAAATGCTGCATGTAATTGAGGTATATTTTGAGAAGATTAGAAAGTGTCTCATAGATAATCTTAAGGGCTGTAACTTCCACTTGCCATGAAAAACATATAAATAAGAATGAATAGTACTGACTTTTGGGAAGTCAGTTTAATGTAAAACTTTCTTTTGGTTCTTTTGATGGATGTAAAAAGAATGTGTGCAGAAAGATGGTAGAATATGTTATGAATGAATTTAAAGTGGTTTGAGGAAGGCACTGATGCTTCCTCATTTGAAAATTATAAGGAGTTAAAAAGAACTATCTAAGAAGTAAAAGTGGCGGGCCTCTATCTTTTCAATATTAAGTGTTCTTGGTTATGTGTTGAACACTTAAATTTCTCAACAAATGGCTATGTCTCATATATGTAGGGGCCTCTCTTGCCCTACTTGCATGCCACTTTCACACACTTTTAATTGAAATCAGTGTGAATTCTGTATGCATAATGGATGTATTAAAGATGTGGGATCATTGATACTATATTGTTGCATACTATTTTTCATATGCCTTACAATATTTTCTGGGACATTATTAAAATGAAAGCATTTTATTGCCAAAATAAATCTATGTTGTTACTTCTGCATTAGCAGTAGAAAAATAATGTAGCAAAAATATATACTGTACAGTACAAAATAATAAAATATATATATTTTGCCAATAATATGAATAGATTGAGGAGAAAGAAGCACATTTCTTATAGCACAAACTTACAACAAAACCCACTGTTAAATTTGGCAGTTCTGTTTTTTAAAAGTATATAGATTTAGTTCTATTTATTTCATCTACCATCTTTTTAACTTGCTGCTTGATACTTTTCCAGCAATTTGTTTCATAGCCTTGCAATCTGTGGATGTAATTCTTATTTTGCTCCTGTCCATAAAACTTATTAAATTTTATTTTGTGATAAGACTCATACTATATTTTCTGTTCTTATTTCTTCTCCTTCCACAACAACTACAAAATGTCACAGCAAATGCACTTATAGGGCTGTTCTGAATTTTATGTTTTTCATAGCCTCAAGTTAGAATGACCAGTAAAGGTGTCCCATTAAAAAAAATTAAAGATTCTTTAATTTGTTTTGTATGAAACACTATTTTAGAACATTCAGTTAAAGCCATTAGCTTTGCTTTAGAAGGGTTGGTGGGAGGGAATAAAAATAAAGTTAATATAAAACATACTAAAATAAATATGTCAAAAATGATGTAAAAAGATTTCTCTACAATTCAGAGGGCTGTTGATACCCCTGACTATTACTGTATCTGCAGTGATAATATGAGGGAAAAAATGCCTTTGTCAAATTTTTTCTTTCTTTAAATTTTAGTTATTTATTTTGATAATTTAGCCCCCTTTTATTTTTTATATAGGTCTGTGTATCATTCTACAAGGCATGCTGGGTAAAATATACTATGCAAATGTGTACAGTGCTGCATGTTTTGTTCTCCTTTTGCTTTAGTGGCTTTAAAGGAAAAAATGTGGTGTTATTTTTGTGAACAAAGACATTTAACAAAGAAAATGCAGAGTGCATGCATATAGTATCCTAATTTCTATGGATTTGTTTTATGGAATTTAAATGTATACAAAACTGCATTAATTTTTTTCTTTTATATAATAAATGACTGAAACCAGCGTTATACCTCTCCTTTATATTATTCCAGAGATATACTGAAGAAACACTGGAAATCATTAAGTATATTTGTATACCTTTCATAGGAAAAAATTAAAACAGTCACTATAAAAACAAAACAAGCAAAAGGATTCAATTAATTGACTGTTTCCTGAATACTGGTGCTATGAGTGACCTCAAACAAAATACTGGATAAGAAATCCCTTAAGTTACACACACACGGACACGCAAAAATGAAGTGGAATATATTAGAATAAATGTGCAGTAGGATTGAATAAATTAACCTATTGCTCACAAAACGTCCCTAAATGAGTAATACAGTTGTAAACAGACATTTGTAGAGCTATCCTGTAAGAATTCCATGAGTGATACATAGATTACAATGTCATTACATATACTCAGTTACTTATACTATGACTTGATTGGAATTTGACTTTTCTCTCATTGCACTGTATAAGAAGTTTGAAAGAAATATCACTATGGATTATTATCACTGCATTACAATTACACAGTGATTTGTATTATTTCATAATTAATCCATCTGACTACCTTGGAAATTAGGTAGGGCACAGATTATTAGACTTGACTACAGACAGAAACCAAACCTCTTAACCCCTTTCTCTGTGTATGTATTTTTGCTTAACAACACATATATTAACAGTACCTGGAATGCAACATGTATTGACTGAATAGTATATTGTTATTAGGTGTTACCTTGACTGAATGAATAGTATCTTGTTATTAGAGAGGTGTTATCAAAGCATTTCAGCTAATAATCTGAAATTCCCAATTGAAAGAATTACACTTGTTCAGTTTCAGTACATGACATGAACATTTGCCAAAGCCACCCCATGTCATCAACACATTTCCACTAATAAGATGGACTGTGGACAGAAACAGCCTGCCCTCTCATAGAGCATGCAGATTACCACTGATTAGAATGCACCCTCACTCTTGCCTGGATCAAAAGCCTGGATCCAGCAATAACCAGCTGTAAGCATGGGACACTTAACTTTCCTGTGCCTGAATCTCTTTCTGTAGAATGTTTTTCTTTTGATATGATCACATTTTCCTGTTTCCTTACATGTCCATAAGTTTTTATGGGATTTACGACACTAAACCTTACGCTGTTGATGACTTGAGCTTGTATTCCTTTAGAGTGTAGAACTTGTTTCCATAGGTAATTATGGATTAGTTTGGTCCTTCCAAGGTTCATTTTCAGGTTTGTAAAGAATTAGTGTAAAGTAGGTTTATCGACTAATCTAGTCCCTTTTGTAAAGTCTCTAGGATGTCTACTGAATATGTTATTGCTGGCTAAAAGGAACCCAAGTGATTCCTGAATCTTTTGTTTCACCCCTCCCTGCTACATATTTTTTCTCCAAATTTGTTATGGCCAGCCTCTGGGATTTTATACTACACAAATACAGATCAGTATGTAGCTGAACACTTGGTGGCTTCCCATGGTGGTTTCTAGAATTTTTCTCTGTGTAGCTTTCTTCTTACAGTTATTCTGCTTCACAGATTCTGGCCATCCTGTGCTCAAAACACTAATCAGTGGCTTCACTTTAAGAGAATATCTTACTCTTACTTGGGCTCTGCTCTTCTATATTTGGGTGGGAATTGCTTCCAGGTGAAAAGTCCAAACATTCGGAAAATTTATCATTTATTTCTATTTTTTAAGGGATTAAAGTCCTATTTTCGAATATTTGAAAGCAAATTTTGTGTATACTGTGACCACTCTTTTGTTAATAAAAGGGTAAATCTAGACCATCCTGATCTCTCCTGCCTTTAAACAGAAGACTATCTAAAGACATTTTGCACATCACTATAATCACTGATAAGTCATCTTTAAAGGGTCTCAGGGGGAAGTGTTTTTACACATGTTCACACCACTCACCAGCTTCTCAATTACATCTTTAGTAGTACCAAATTTGTATTTCACCTATGGATCATAGTCAGCCAACACTGGTTTAGGTAGATTCATTACTTTCTTTTTCTTCAGAGGCAGTGGTAAATACTCTGGGAGGCCATCTCTTTAAAACCAAGCCTTAGCTTCACAAATTAGTATGGCTTGACTTACATTTAACAAATCAACAGAATGTGTGGAAGTTTGCAAAGTGTCTCAGTTGCCAAAACATTACAATGTGCAAGAATGAAATATGTCAATGCAACTTGATTATGCTATTGTTTTACAAAACAGCCTATAAAAAATTCAAGTAAATCCAGGCATAATCTATAAATTACATAGTATGTCATTATTATAAAGGATTTTCTTCCCCTTCATATTTTCTCTAAAGTTTAGTTTTTAAATGTAAACCCCAAAAGAAGTTTTAAAACATTACTTTTCGATATATCAAGAGCATATGGCTGGCAGTCAGATGGGCAAGCCAGTCCTGAAAGTGGAGGGAGACAGGAGAGGAAGACCCTTGAAGATGCCGAGACGGCTGCGAAGATAAGACCACTGACTTCAGCTGAGTGGGAAGGGGCAAGAGGCTCCACAGAGAAAGACCCTCTGGAACCAGGCCCTCATCAAGGTTCAAAAACGGATTTGGGGTGGTGCGAATGTGTGTAGGGGTGGAGATGGGCACTATCACGTTTCGGTTATGGCTTTATAGAGATCTTCAGGGAGAACATAACTCGGCATGGACGCAGCAGCAAACTGTCTAGAGCCGGCCGTTCCCAGCCGCAGCCAACGTAGCAGGTTCGACCCCCAGGTGCAGTCCCACAGCCAGCGGACTCCTCGGAAGACAAACAAGTAAACAAAGCCAGACCGCCGTCTTCCCCGGGGCTCCGCCCCTCCGGCCGCGCGCCTGCGCTCTCGTCACGCTGGCCCCGCCCTTTCACCGCCCCCGCCCGCGTGGTCGCCGCCAACGCAGTGAGGAACTAGGGGAGGACGGTGGCCCGCGCGGTTCGTCGCAGACAACGCGGCGGCGATGTCCGCGAGCCAGGCGAGTGCCGCGGTGGCTGCGGCGGGGCCTCGCGCGCGGCAGGGCGGCCTGGGCTTTGGCCTCCCTCCGGTTCCTTGGAAGTGGGCAGGCAGCCAGCGCGGGAGCGATAGCTGCAGAGGCGGAGGTGCCGGCGCGTCCTTCTCCCCCTCAGCCTGAGCCAGGGGAGGCCTGGCGGTCCGGGTGGCTGGAAGGGCTTCGCTGCCCGAGAATGGGAATTCTCTTCACCAGGATATGGAGACTGTTCAATCACCAGGGTGAGGGGCTCGGGCCGCAGGCGTGCGGGTCGGGGAGAGGGTCAGTCCTGCCGCGGTGGTGGGGTCTCCGAATACTTCCGGAGTGTGGGCGGCGCGGGCAGCGCGAGGTGCATGCTGCTCCCCTGCAGGCCCGGGAGCATTCGATCTCCTTTTGCGGGCATAGGGACCGTTTCCGTCTCGCAGCGCAGCCCTTTGTCTTGAAGGACTTTCCTAAAAGTCCTTTCCGCAATACACCCATTGCTCCGATTTCGATCGGGAGTGAAAAAGGTCTATTGTCGCACGTCAGATCCCCCAGAGTGGCACGGCTTGGTCTCTCTTCGACTCCTTTCTTCGGTCAGCAGTTGGATTTGGACATCAAAGAGAAATGCTGGCGTTTTCTGGGAAAAAAGGTGTAGTTTTTGGCCTTTGCCGCACCACTGAGCGACGAAGAGGTGCAGAATGCGGAAAACGTGAGCACTGGCTTGACTAGTCGAGTACCCTTCGGGCTTCCGAGGCTTCCCTCCACTGCCTCCCCTCTGGGGGAGGGGCGGGAGAAACTCCTCGTGGTGGGGAAATTCCCTCTGTTTGCTTTATTTATTTCTATTTAAGATTAAGCTTAAGGTCATTTTCTTAGCCATAGAAGTTACTAAGAAGATTTTTTTTCGTTTAGTTTTTTGGCTGGGTTAAAAATACCGAAGTGTTTTCGCTCAAAGCTTTAAATACTACTGCATATGAAACATTGTTAATGGTAGATAACTGGCAAGTTACTAAAATATAGTGGATGATGCTTAAATTCATCTAAACTCAAACATTGCCTTAAAATGCATAGGTTAAAATTTGTTTTAAAATGGGTGTACAACTAGAGAAAAGACACCTCACTTTTTTAACAAAAAAAGGGCATAGTTACTCAGATCAAATGTAGTGATGTCTTTATTGCTTTTAAACTCGACTTGGACGATTCATCATTCCTGCTGTAAATAACTTAGTTTGTAACTTTTGTATAAGTTGGTGGTGTCACATCTCAAAAGTTTTACAGTTGAAATTTAAATGAGTTGTGGCAACCATTTTAAAGACCCCATGACCCCCTCCAACTCAGTGATGGAGCTGCTCTTATAAAGAGATGGGAATGGAGTAGAACTGGGCCAGGTGATAGTTTAGATCACAAGATACCAGATGGAATGGAAGGTGGCTTGAGGCTTTCTAGTGAAGTGGAGGTAACCAGTTCTAATCAACACTCCTATCTCTGGCTGTGTAAGTTGGGAGAAGGAAGTGGGAACCAGTTACTTAACCTTACTGAATCTAGGTGTTCTGCCCTAGGATCTGGGGAGCCTACAGATCTTGAAAATTTAATGTCTAGGTTTCAAGTATTAAAATTTACATTGTTGTAAAACTGGTGATATTCACAGTAAATAAGCTCAGTTGTAGTTTTACCATCTGTAATTGTTTAGTTGTTGTAGTTCTGTTTTTTGAGACAGGGTCTTGCCATGTAGTTCAGGCTGACCTTGAGCTTACTGTATAGCCCAGACTGACCTTAAATTCATGGCGATCCTCTTGCCTCAGCCTCCAGAACGCTGGGATTATAGGCATGCATCACTGTGCATGGCTGAACCATCTGTAATTTTGGATTGTTTTTAGCAAAATTTAATGTGTCTCAATTTCTCCTGTGAGTTTTGAAAAACTTTGCTTGTTGATTGAACTCCAGTACTGCCAAAAAAATAGCTATCTCTATTTTGAGTCAGTAATAAAATTTTTCCTATAGTTTAAGAATGAATTACAGTTTTGTCAACAGCCACTTGCCAGTAGTAAATAATAAGAATGTGTACGTTGGCACCACTACAAATTGCTATTACTAGAGTTAGTATTACCTATGTTGTGTGATAATTTTTTTCCTGGACATGTACTGAAATGTTAAGAAACTAATAAGAATTAATGAAGACATGTTCTACAAAGTTACACGTTGTGAAAGTGAATAAACGATTTATTTTCTGTTAAACAATGTGGTGGTTGTATCGATAGAATCATTTCTCAAAATATTTACTCCAACCTAATTCTAGATACTTTTTGGTTTTTTAAATTGTGTGTTAAAATGGGTGGATGTAGGTGAGATACTTTGCTTTACCTAGAGAAGATTCAGGATGCAATACTGTATTCTTCTGACAGAAACTGTTGGAGAGAATGTTTAATGGGATTATAGAATTTGTGATACTGGTGAAACTAAAATTGTACCAGATGTCTTCTGAAAATCCTGTGAAATAGCCTTTTCAATGAGTTTAGGTTCAGTGCATGGCCAAAGCTAATTCCATACTCTACTAGAACAACTGGAGGTTTAGGTGATGAGATTCAGTGGAGCACAAATTTTACATGCTATAATGTATGTCATCTGTTTTTGTTTTCATTTTTAATGTTTTGATGGTCCTGTGGAGTAATCTTTCCAGATCTTAAAAACTGTTAAATGAGAGAGCCAGGCAAGGCCAGAGAAATCTATTACTGGCTATTAATCTTCTTAAAAGAGATTGACATGCTTTTTTTCCTCAAGTTTAACAGTCTGTTGATATGTTGTAAATCTCTAGGACTTTGAAAAGTTGCCCATTAGTGACTTTGTATATACTGTGTATAGAAAGATGTTTTGATCAGAGATCTATTACACAAATTTTTTGAGCAACTGTTTGGATTAGGACTTGAAGTGAAGAAAGCACACAACTTGACCTTCTCCAGGGGTTTTTTGTAGAGAGACAGAAAATGCACTACTCATTCTATCTCTACAGATACGGTGATTTACATTTACTCACTTTTGCAAGGTTAAGTTCTTATACAGGTTAGTTGATTTAATCTGTATTTAGTTGATTTATTCCTCACACTACAGCAACTTTATGAGGTAGATACTCTCATTTTACAGGAGCAAAGAAATATTAAGTAGCTTTATTAAAGCATTATAGAAGTGATAGGCCTGGGATTCTAACCGAGATTGTCTAGTGCTGGAGTTAGTGCTCTTAAAAGCAAACACATACAACTTTTTTGTATAAGAAAGATTCGTATTAGATAAGGAATTTGACATTAATGTGAATTATGGAAAGAAGTTATGGGATTTCCCCATTGATAACCTTGAATTGCTCGTGTGATTGGTTGTTATAAAAGGAATTGTAAGTTACAAATAAATGTGGGCATAGCTTTCTAGGTTGCACAAAGGTATGCTGAGGAAACTATCTCTGCTTTTATTTTTTTCCCTTAGTACATGTGGAAGCTGAGTGCACTGTACCATTTGTAATTATATTGGCTCTTAGCTCCAGTTGAGTCCATCTTTACATGTTCAGTGGAAATGGACCTGGGTCCTTCAGATACTGGTCTTTGTCAATGGGCACAGTGTTAAGCTTTGTTTATGCCTTGGTGGAACAGCATTGTGGATGGGAAGGATTTTTCTTCATGAGTACGTTGTGTCCTCCACATGCCCTGTTTGAGCACAAGCACCTTCCCCAGTGCCTGGCTTTTGGGCTGCATGGTGTCAGCTTCCCCTAGCACCCACCTCAACTGGTTTCCTGATGAAAGACTTCCAGCAAAACATTCTTAATGAGCAGTTTTCCCTAGCATTCTAGAGGGAGGCTTTCCAGGAAGTACCCTTGGCATCTCACCCCAGCTTCTTTTCAGCCATTCAGTGAGCCATAGCTGTGTCCTCCAATAAGATCTTCTTTATCTCAGTGCTGAGCCCAGCACAGAGGAGCCCTCTTACCCCTAAGAGGGATAGTCTCCTTTTGTCATTCCTATGATCTTTGCAGTTCTTTAGCCTTCCTTATTGTCACAATGTCACGTAATAGTTATTTTCTTTATATTAAACTTTCCAAATTCAAACTTCTTAGTACAAAAGAAAATATTTCCTGAAACTTCATTACTAATGAGTATAGTTTTTTCAGTTTGTTTCTTCTAAGTTTTGAGAATTGAATTTGTAATGCAGAGTGGCTTCGTCAGATAACTCCCACCTAACCTTTTGATTTTCCAGGTGTAATTTACTTGTCCATTCATTGAAAGATACTTTATTAAGTACATGCTTTATTTCCACAGTGAGAGGACAATAGTGAACATGATAAAGAATCAGGATAACTCGCGATTTATGTGTTTGTGTTTTCTGACTTTGTATGATTCAGAGAGATCCAGTGAAGATCTCTGGAATGTCAATTACCTTTTTCCCCCCTTAATTTACGACTGGTAATCACATGAATAAAACTTTTAGAAACGAGCAAGGACAGGAATTGATATGCTGTCTAAGTAAAACTGAAAAAAGAGAAGGGAAATAAGCATTTTTATGACAAAACAGTATTGATTGTTAAAGTCTAGATGATAACTCAGAATTCCCTCAAAGCATTGTAACAGTGTGTTGTTTTGGTTTATCTGAGTAGTTGCAGGAATGCTATGATGCAGATATTGTGAAAGCCAAATTAAATGAAATAGTAAACTTGTGATGACTCACGTGCATTAAAGAATGGGAATGAATAAATTATATTACCTTTGTCCATCTCTTATTGTGCATGTCATTTTTTAGATTCTATGGAACTTTTGTTTTAAAGCATGTTATAGCACTTTCTGGCTACAAATATTTTTTCAATAGGTGTCTTGTTCGTTTTGATAATGAGAACAGGATGGGGTAGTGACAGAGCTTAAGGGTTAAAAGTTAATTTAATGTTAAAAAATATTTGTAAATAACGTAATATCATTGATAATATACTAGCTAGCCATCATTTAGTTGGCATCTTTACCTTTGATCCTATTACATAATTATGCTTTAACTTGGGACCTGGGATGTATTTCAGTGATAGAGCATTTAAGTAGCGTGTATGAGACCTCTAGGTTCAGTCTTCAGCACCACAAGTAAAAGTCTTCAACTCTGTGGTTTTTATTATGACCTGCATGCTGTATTTTAGACCTAAAAGGCTATTGAAAATGGTCATTGGTGCTTTATTATAAAAGCACAAAAAACTTAAAGAGACAATCCTCGAGTGCAAGGGAAATGGAGCAGGGAGAGGTTGGTGATGAATATGATTTGTAGTTGTTAAGCTAGGGTGAGGGATTGTGGGTTCGTTATTGGAATGGCCCTCCAAAGAGATCTATGACTGCGTCACACAACTGTGGTTCCTCGCAGGTTTTCTAAAAGTTCTGCACGTGTTTGATTGGAGTTTCTCTCCTTTTTTTAAAGCTATTTTAAAAATTTATGTATAATTATATTAGCTTTTGACTTGAAAATTGAATTAGCTTATCAACTTGAGAGACTTGAAAATTCTGGGTTGGGAGGTATATTGCATGTTTATGTATTTTGAGGTGACACGAACTTGCAGAATGTGAGAAATTAAAAGAAAGAAGGTGTCTTAACTGGAGAACATTCTTAGCAAAGTTAAACAGTTGGAAAGTCCCTGAGACATTCTGGACATCAAGTGAAGACCAGCTTACCTAAACCTGAGCAGACAGGTCAAGAAAAGAATTAGGA